ATTCAAAAGATCCAAATCATTCAATCTACTTTCAGATGTTGTATTTCATAGGTATGTTTTTCACAGACTTGCAGGCCCGGCCCCTGAGCCGGACCGTATTTTAATTTTTTTAAATATACCCGGGCCGGGCTCGTAATTTTTTTTTTTAAAAACACCCGGGCTGGGCCTGAAAATTTTTTAAGAAAAAATATCCGAGCCGAGATGTATATTTTAAAACCAAATATTTGAAATCGCCATTATTAGCTATAAATATCAAAAATAAATATAATTTATTTTAAAAAATTCTGGCTAAGCCAGCCGGGCCGGGCCTGAAAATTTTTTTAAAAAAAACCCGGGCCGGAAAAAATTTTAAAATAAAATCTGGGCCTGGTCCTGCAAATGGTACCTCTGCAAGTCTCTGTTATTCTTCTTAAAAAAGTGAATGTTCTCTCATTAGTTTACTAAAGAGCTGCTAATATATATATAACCATTTTAATAATTGGGAGTATAATCTAAAATGTGTTTGAAATAAAAAGCATCCATAGCATTTTTTGGGACTGTATCAACCATAGCTAATCTTTTAATCATAGTTATCAGCTAATAAGGCATCATAAGATATTTTAACATCTTCATGATAAAAATATAACAAATATTTATATTTTTTTTCTATCACCATATGAAAAAGGTTGGGAGAGGGGACATTTGTTTTATAATACTCTTCTACTGATCCTATATTAATGTTTTGATGATGAGCTTGCTTGCTGCAAGTCGAGGGGGACAAATATTTAACACGTATAGCTCTGCTTTTGACTCAACAATAACATATAAAATATGAAATTCTTCAACAACACTAGCTCTATTTCCTTGAGTTCTAATAAAATGCTCTCCGCTATTCTCATCTTCTTAATCAAGTCAATGTTATGTTTTTAAAAGTATTACATAAAATAGTTTTATAATTAAATAATACATTCTAATGAGAAAAAAAAATTGGAATAAGTATTGAATCCAATAATTTTCTTGCTTCTGAGGAAATATTTCTTTCAAGCCATTGTGATATTTCAGTAATAGCATTAATAATCAGCTCTTCTAACTTCAAAATAGCTGTTACTGTGGCGGAGACTCGATCTCGTTGGACAAGCTTGCAATTTTTTTCTCCCTGTTGGACAAGGAGTTTCAGAGATAATTATTATTTTATTAGAAATTTAGATAAATATTACGCCACTAAAATTTGAAAATAATAGGTAAATTACGCCAAGGAAAACTTGAAATCGAAATTGATTGATAAAATAACTTAGTAGATGAATGTGATAAATAAAATATATATATATATATATATATATGTGTATATATGAGATAAGAATAAATATTAACAAATATAAATTAATATTAACAATAATATTTTTGAAAAATATAATCCGGCATCTGCATTTTTTGGCTTTGGGGGAGGATTTGTCCCCCTGTCCCCCCCCCGCTGCGTACGCGCCTGGAGGTGTGTATTCAAATTCCTTGTTATCAAAAATGATTGAGAATGGAGACTTGGATATTCCACCACCTAAAAACCTACCAAATACAAGTATCATTCTTTCACATGTTTTTGTGGCAGATGATGCTTACCCGTTAAAATATTATATTATAAAACCTTATAAAGGTATTATTTTAAGATTAAATAAGAAAAGAACAATTTAAAATTATTACATAGAGAAAAAAAAAGTAAGAAAATCCATTTTTTAAATTTATAAAACTTTAAAGGTTATATTACATTTTATTTTTACATATTTAACAGGTAAGTTGACAAATATTCAAGAAAATTATAATTATCGCCTTTCAAGGGCCAGAAGAATGGCGGAATGCACCTTTGTCATATTTTCATCTAAATGATGTATTCTTAATCGAGCCTTGGATACCCATGTCACCAATAGTGAAACTATTATAAAAACTTGTGCACTATTACACAACTTGGTTATTGATAAAGAAAATATAGATCTCCGCCCTAAGGATACTCAAGATCATAAAAAAATAATTATTTCTGGAATCCTCAATCCATAAAAAAACCCCTCAAAAGTTTCTAAAGATATTAGAGATGCATTTTCAGAATATTTTTATAGAAATAAATTACCTTGGCATTATAGCTTATATTTTAAAAATATTATTCTATTTTTTTTATAATGATATTATGTTTAATATGATTAAAATAAAAGAAAACATAAATCTATACCCCAAGGATGTACAAGATCATAAACAAAATAATTATTTATGTAATCCTCAATCTATAAAAAAAAAACCCTCAAAAGTTTCTAAAGATATTAGAAATGCCTTTTCTGAATATTTTTAGAGAAATAAAATTATCATGGCTATTAGAGCTTAATAATATAATAAATTTTAAAAATATTACTCTATTTTTTTTTATTGATTTGTAATTATTTAATAAAAAGAAAGTTTATTTATTATATATGTCATAAATATGATTAAAATAATATAAAAGCTTTCCAATGAAATAATAACAATATATAATATTTTTCATTCTTCTTCACCAGTGTCAAAGTTGAAGAGAATATCAAAAATAATTTTAATAAGCTTCTTCTTTCCCCTTTCTGATCTTTTTTCCAAGGTTTGGTCTAGCATGACATTAAGCCTAGATGATCTTATTTCTTTCATTTTTTCTATTTCAAGTATTTTCTCAAATAGATCTAGTTTAAAATAAATAAAAATATTTACAAATGTTACCTTGATCAATATTTTTTTTTAAATTAATTTTTTGCAAGATAATTTTGATGCAATACTAGTTTATATAATATTATTTATATAAAATATGATTACAATCATTCTTTAGAATTGTATCTTCACTACTTGTCTCTATGTAGGGAATTTCAATGACTATATATTAATAAAATATTATCAAAATTTAGTATACTTACCATCTTCATATTGATAATTGTCATTACCACTCATTTGCTCAAACATTGGTCTAGCAATAATTAAACTCTTTAATTACCTGTCTCAATATTGTTTTCAGCTGATATTAATTTAATCGAGTTATTTTTCAAGGTATTTTTATAATCTATACATTTTTTGTCATAAAGACAAGGATGGTATCTAATGGAATTGATTAAATCTTCTTTATTGATTTTCTATAAAAAATTATTAATATTATTTATTTATATTCTGATATATATATATATATAACATTTATTATTTTAATAGCATATCAAAAATTTACTTGTAAATCTTTTTCGGCCATATTGTTAATGTCGCATGGAAAAAAACAAAATGATTTGTAACTTGATTTTTATGTTTTATGCGACAAATGTGGCGGGATTGTCGTGTCGCGTCGAAAGCTCACTATGAATAGTCATTGGTAATTACATATATTTGTATTTTGTCGTGTCGCTGTCGCTCTCTACTGTGAATTCACCCTTAGTCTTCAACTCTTTTTTTATTTTTCACGATTATATCTTCCTACAACATTCCATGTTTTGCCTAGCCTCTATCTTGGTTTTGACTAAGTTTTTATATTTTTTGATCACATTTTAAAAAAAAAACCTTTCTAAAATTGATGAAGTAGACAAAGAACCCTAAAATAAATCAAGCGGTTGAAAAAATTTATAAACATAAAATCATTTTTTTTTAAATATCAATTTTGAACCATTAGTACATTAAATTTAAAAGTTATATTTCTTATAAACACTATACATATTAATTAGGCCAAATAAAATATTATAAATTAAAATGATAATTAGCAGGAGTATTCGTCAATAATGATGATGAATATCCATGTTTTGAGAAATAATTGTTTTTAAAGGTAGCACTTTAAGTAACAAAATGTTCATTGTATATATTTTTTATGTATATTTATTTATAATTACCTTAATCTGTAAAATAAAAACGTCGTTACCGTTTATGTTATTTCTTTTACTGAAAAAAAGATATAAAAAAGTAATTGCATAAATTGTTTTAAATTTATTTTATCAATCGATATAATCTTACACAAATCCTCAAGTACTAATAAATAATTGATTAAATTTTTTAAAATTATAATATTGTAATTATTTTACAAAAAATTCATAAAAAACTAAAATAACTCCTCTAGAAAAATAACATAGAATAAAATATACAAATAATTATATAAATTGAATAGTTAAGCAAACTTAAATATTAATAAAAGACCGGAATGTGGTCCTCAAAAAAAGATAGGTATGGTCGGTCTAAGACACATATGACGGCACTATACATAATTGGCTGAGAAACTTTCCAAAATGTATTTATTCTTTTAATTTTTACAAAGGTAAATGTGTTTTTCATACCAAAAGTAATAATAAATGAAAGTTTTATCGTTTTAGATTAGATTTATAGATAGAACTTTTATTAGGAAATTTAAACTCAAAATTAAAAAAATCTTCACAGATCAAGATATTCGAGGATCATAAAATTTGAAGATCTTTTATTTAGGAGTTTTTTTTCAAGGGTCAAAATCTTTTGTGATTTAGATAATTGGTAATTTTTAAATACACATTTTATTAACCATTTAAATCTTTGATGATTTTGGGATAATAAAATCTTCGATGATCTAAATCTTTCGTGATCTTGAGGTTATAAATCTTTTGTGAATTGTGTATAATAAAAATTCTATATGGAATTTTACAGGCATAATTTTAATATTTTTAAATTTTAATGAAATGTTATATTTTATATTGAATAGTTCAAATTTGATAATTTGTCAAAATCATAAATTTAATTATCATATCTGTGAGGTATTATAGAATGGCAACTTTCATAATCATTATTTAAAAATTTCCTTGAAAATAATGGGCATAAATATTGTAAATTTAAACACTTTGCTTAAATGAATGAGTGACCAATATGAAAATGTTAGTGAAATTAAAAAACATTTGTTTTTTTTGAAAATTGATTTTTTTTAAAGAACCCGTTTAATACTGAAAACGTGTCCCTTGTTTTCTGATTCGTCAACTAAGATGTAAAACCATATCAGGTTTTATTTAATGAAAATTAATTCCAAATTATGATAAATTTATAAAACGTTTATTGCAAATATTTAAAATAAAACAAGTTAATAATAATATATTAAGTAATCTTGATATGTATATTATAATATCTGAAATTATTATAATTTACATAATAGAAACAGATATATATTAATTGGTGTAATAATAAATCCCCAAAATATAAATTATTTTACAGTGAAAATAATATTTTAATCAACAGCTAATATAAAGTTAACGAAAAAACATCTAATTATCAAACTATACCTTATTCTAATTAGTATAATCTCTGCAGCGACTTGATGAAAGTATCATAATTTGTAATGTATTACTATATAGTACTAGTAAGTTTAACATCAAGATAAGAAATAGCAAGTTTAAATCCTGAAAATTTTAAATTTTAAGGAATAAATGCAAGAAAATTTTGAGCGTTTACAACGTGATTATTGAGTTATATATAAAAATAAGGCATAGCATATTAAATGTTTAAAAAACACTGACGAATTAGATATAATGTAATATATTGAAAATAATTATGTGAACTAGTATAAAAAAAAATTATATTGCATCAAAATGTTTTAGTGTAGCAAGTTCTAATCCAAAAGGATTTACTTTCAAGAAAATTAATACATAAAAATTTTGAGCATTACAATTATTTTATTTAGTTATACAATATATAAAAAATGAGACACTTGTATGAGTAAAAAAGTTAACGAATTAGATATGTGAACTAATATAAAAAAATTATAATACATCAAAAGTTTTAGATTTGTAAAATAATTACAAAAAAAAATTGATTATACGAAAGGTTTTAAAATATATTAACACAGGTATTACATTTCATTGAATAAATTAGATAATTTTATAATTGTTTAAATACATATTCATACATGAAGACAGATCTCGGAAAAAAATAAAATCTTACAATTTTATTTTTATTTTATAAAAGAATAATTACTGGCTGATATTATTCGAAAGGGTAATTTTCAAGGATTTAACTAAATTTAGTTCAATAAAAAAAATAAAGGTATATTAATCCGGGTTTATTTTTTGTCTGAAAACATAGTACTGTAGATTAATTAAACTCTTTTCTACCATTTTTATAACTGGAAAAAATATTTATAATTAGCAACAAAGCGTAATTTTGGGCAATAAAGTTTGATATACATAAGTTATAAGTTTTTTTAGAAGGTGGGGAGTCTATTTTCTTACAATAATTTATCGAAGCAAGTGTGACAATAAGGCTTTCCCCTGCGTTCCTTGAACGTTCCACCGAGTTGTTTTAAGCAAAAAGCGCAAACAAAATGTTCTGGGTGAAATTTTTTATAAAGCGCGGAAACGCATTTGCCTGTTAATGTATAAAAAATAAATATAAATTAGAATCAAAATCTGATAGTTGATATTATAAATTTTCTTATAAATTAGTGTAATGTAAATGAAAGAGGTTAATTTTTTTGGAAAAGTTCCTTTTATTTTTGACAAACTTTAAACTTGTTACTTTTTTTGAAGAACGCGTTCGTTTTTTTACGTTCTCTTTAGAAAATCTTCTTATTTCTATTCTTTGAAAATAATAAATAGTAGTTTATTAATTTGAATATATGATTTATATTTTATAGAATAGCGTAAGCATGGATGCTGTTCCAAGCCCAAATATAATAAATAAATTACAGTAACATCCTATATTCAATAAACTAATTCTATACTTATCAAATGTAAAATGTATCCAAGAAGTACTATCAGCTTTAAATCTTCAAGTTCTAATCTAAAGTTATTTGATTGAATATTTATTTTTATACATATAACTTTAAGTATCCTGTTAATAATTTATTTTAGATTGTTGTATTTCATAGCCTTATTAAATATTATGATTATTATAATAGATAAATATAAAATCATTAAATCTTATATATTATATACATAATAGTTATAACTTAGAGAATTATTTATATTTAGTGTGATTATTTTACGCTATTATTTAGTTTTTATCAAGGGTTTACTATTTTAAAAGGTGAACACAATTTAAATTAATTTATATAAGTTTTTATATGTTAAAAATTAATAAGAAAATTTTTTTTAAAAATAAAAATATTTTTTTATTAATTAATTAATTTTAAGCATAACTAATATATTGTGTTAAAAAATATATGGAATTTATTTATATTAAATGAGATAAAAAAAATTTATTCATAAAGTTTTGAACGAACATGAACGCGTTCCTTTTTTTGAAGGTGAACATTGGACGTGAACGCATTTGATTTTTTTAAAAATGTTTACAGCACTAGGTTATTCTTATAAGATAGGTCAGCTATGAAAATTTTAAAACCCCAGGCAATCAATTTATTTCTTAAATGTTATATACGATCTGAAGATTAGCTAGTTAAAAAAATATATCTATTCAATATTCTTCGTGTTAATCTGGCAAATGATTAAAAACGTGTATACCTCCTGGGGATATCTCGCGTCCGCAACCAAAGCAAAGCGAATATGAGGCCTTTTTCCTTGCCATGTAATGGGTATAACATAAAGGCCAACCAAAGTTATTATTATTGGTTGATGATAATGAATCGTCTTGGTCTTTAAACTCATAAAATGAGCCTTTCCCGAATGGCATATGGCAATCCTATGGAGATGTTTTATTTCGATTTAATAATATATAATTAAAAGAAAATTCGGTTAATTTTTTCAATGTGTTTTAAAAAAAATAATAAAATAAATTTTGTAATCAGTTAATTTTTTTTTATTATTTCCTCCATAAGAGTTAATTTAATATTATAACAAAAAATATGTTCGGCGAAAAAACATTTATCCAATATATATTAACCCTACAAAGTGCCCTTCGTATCTAGCGAATGTAAGTATATATTAAGTATTATTAACCATAGCCTACATCAGGCCTTAGCTTGGATTAGATTAAGAATATACCAACTGCTTCGTAATTCTCAAGTATCTGATTGATTATACAGACTGGTAATTACCGGGCCCTAACATGTATATAGTTTGGATGAAATTAAGCAACATATTTATATTGATATTTATTTAACCCAATATCTAATGTATGCTACAAACCAGAGATCACAGTAGGGAAAAATTCTAAAAAAAGTTATAATGGGGACGAGGAATAAAAAAGACAGATATTATTTTTTGTTTTTTCTTTAATGGTTAATGAGGTGAATAGATATTTTATAAATAACTAGCTAATAACCCGAGGGGTAATTATAGTTTATGTATATGGTACTAAATATACTTTATTAATTATTTTATAAAAATATTAATATTTAGGAGAAAAAGAGGTAAATTTGTGAATCAAACCTCATAAGATATTCTTAATTTAAAGTATGATGACCGTCTTTCTTGATGGGAATGAAAAATATATAACTAAGACTACCAGAGCTCCCGTTAGTCAGCACTGCTGAGCCAGTCAAAAATGACGGAGAATGAGAATTTTCTCCTCACTCTTATGATAGTTAGTTGTTACCTGTTATTTGAAAATAATATCCAATTTTTATTCTTTATAACCACCTCCCCCCTTCAGGCCAGGTCCAATCCATTAAAATTAAGTGAAAATGCTATGTTTTAAGTTAAAATATATTTAAAGCTTTTACTTGATACCCATATCAATATTATTTTTTAAAATGTTACTAATCACCTATGCCTAATATTTAATATTGAAAAAATTTCCAAGCAAAGTCCAAGGCCCTAATAATTTTGAAAAAATTTCCCCAACCCCAACCAAAGATCATAATAATTTTGGTATTTGAGAACTGGAATAAAATTGAGCCTTGGTATTTTGATCGGGCCGATCCCATGCCTGCAAAAAAATTTGTTTCAGGTCAATGTCTGATCCATAGTTAATAATAAAAAAATTCTCAAGCGTCCAAGCTGATAATAATTTGAAAAATTTTACCGTTACAAAAACTGGCAAACGATGGGGGGGGATTTCCCCTTCCCTACTCCCTTGGTTATGCAGAGGTACCATTTACACGGCCCGGATTAAAAATAAATTTTCGGCCTGGCCCGGCTTGGATATTTTCAGGCGCGACCCGAATTCTTTAAAAATACATTACATTTATTATTAATTTTTAAAGCTAATAAAGGCGATTTAAAATATTTGGTTTTCAATTATACGGCCCGGTATAGATATTTTTTAAAAAATTTTTTAGGCCCGATGGGAGTTTTTTTTTAAAAAAATTTTTAAGCCCGGCCCGGGTACCCGGGTGGTACCTACATGTCTCTGACTATGCGTCTGTATTATATATATTTTATATTAATATATTCAATAGTTTATATCAAATAAAAACTAAGGTGGTAATTTTACATTTACATTCTTTAAATATCTCGTCTTTTTGTGCTTTTATTTTTCTAAAAGGTAACGTGAGTTTTGACTATTGCGTGTTATAATTTTATGCTAAATGAGTATATACTTTTGTGTTTTTTCGATCTTAGCTTTTTTTTAAAACTGAAGCCTACATAATCACACCAATCATCTTATCTATAAATGGAAACTTTTCTCTCTTAACCTATAAGCATTATCATGAGAAAATTTCTTTGTCAAAAAATGCAGATAGAAATCTTCAAATATAATCATGCTCTTTTTTGGGAACCAAGCAAAAAATATTTGGCCATGATATATCTGTTCATAATTAAATTTTTATCAATTGATATAATATTTTGTTTTTAAATATTTTTTATTTTTTAATGAAATAAATTTTTTATACAATCTTAATTTATTTTATCTATAAATTCGATAAAAGAGTAATAAAATTAATTATAAAAAATAATTTACTATCTCTATAAAATAAAAAGATCCAATCCATGTACAGTATTAAACCCATCCTTTGGGTTGTCTGTTTTATAGTTATTTTTTAAATTAGATTTTAATAAAAAAAAGAATATATTTATATATAAATTAGTTTTATAATTGAAGCAGCTATCCATTAATCCGTTAAGCAATAAATTATAATGTAACTGTAAAATATCCAACGTGATATCTTATTGTGCAATAAAATTATAGATTAAAAGAATTGTTAAAGTCAATACACAACTTATTATAATAACCTTTAAAAACTTATAAAATAAATTTAGTTTTGAATAATTATTATAAATTTACTCCACAAACGAAGCAATCGGGATGCCATTTGGCATCGAGAGCGGACACAAAGTTTTCAAGAATTGGATTGGCACATGCGCGGCATCTGGGAGCGAATAGCGCAAAATAATCTTCTCGGCACAACGCCATAAACTGGTCCTCATTCTCAGATTCCAATTGGTCAGTTTTGTTGTTGTCGTTTGATTGGTCGAGAGTAGAAGAATGTCGCGATAGGTCCGATTGAGAGATCACGTGATATGGCTCTCCGGGCTCGAAGATTTTGGAACACGCGCCGACGCATTTGAAGTGTTCGGGATGCCAGGTTCTATCTAGGGCCGTCACGCATTTCTAATATATCAATAATAAAATAAATTCCCCCTTTTCATATTTTTATAGTTCACTATAAATAGATAAGTATGGGGTTATATTCATAAAAAATTGAAGGGCTATAAAATATATAAGCAGCAAAATTTTCAAAATATCTAAAAATTGTTTTCCCGGAATACCTCATAATCTTTCGAGGTGGAGCGTCATTTTATTTTTATATGTTACTAATTTTGTTAAATAAAAATATTTTAAATGTATTAAGTTCCTCCATAGGCGTATCTACGATTTTGTTAGGAGGGAGGGGGGGGGTGGCTATTAGAAAATTTTTTCTCCATAAATTATATTGGAGATCTTTAGGTCCACTTATTGTAGATCTTTGGCCATATTTGATTTTTCAAAAATAATTTTGAATTTTCACTTTTTTAAAATTAAAATCGTTTTTTAAATTTTGAATAGCTGTTATTTAAAAAATTTATTAACTTTTATTAATTTTTCTTTCACATTCTTCCTTATAATGGATATCTTATACATTTTTGAGGGAGAGGGATGTGGAGGGGAGAAATTTTTATTTTCTCAAAATGATATTTATGAGAATAGACAAATTTGAGATGGGGTGAGGGGGTTCCCCCTTTGCCCCCCCCCCCTTTGGTTACGCGCCTGAGTTCATTCCAATTTACGGATTAAATAAAAAATTATATTTTCTTATTCTAATTATTTAAGTATAATTACATTAAAGTATTTAAACCATCTGTTAATAGATTAGATGCTATATAATCAAGGATATGGAACCGAACTCGAGGATGATCATGGAACATCAAAGGAACGGGAACGGTAATCCCTGAATTCCGAAATGTTCTAAAAAAATTATATTAAAAATTTAATTTATTATATATGAATTATAATGAATGCATTCATAAATATTCTTTTATTTTTTACAACATTATTCCCATTATAAGAACATTTTTTTAAAAATCATATAACTATTTTAATATTTAGAAGAGACCAGGGTAGGGCGATTGATCAGATAACAACGTTAACGCGAATAATTTCTTAATCCTTGAATATACTCTAAATTTGGTGTGAAGATGTATTTTTATATCTAATTTCTTACCTATGTTCATCTTTTGGAAAACCTACCGGGTTTGACATATTGTACCAAAAAACCGATTTTTACCCAAAAATTATAAAAATCACTCTCTAGTTTTCCTTGCTAACAAAATATATTTAAGCTCAGATTTTAAAATTGTATACATGTTTTTTAAAGCCATAAATATAAAATAAAATTTATCGTAAGTTTATAGCTTAACTAGAAGTCATGGAATAACGTTTGACACAATATATATGACCTTGGGATAACGTTGCTATGGGTAAAAAGGTTAAAATGTCTTGTTTGATTATTAACGTCTACTACATATAAAAAGATACTTTTGTGCAAAAAGGAACATTAATAGTTTGTAATATTGTGATAAAATTTTACGAATAGTCGCAAAGGTGAAGAATAATTGAAATGTAAGATGTAGCTAAAATGGGAACATCTAAATTTTGATATTTTTGATTAAATCCTATAGATTATATAACTAACTAAAAGTAATGAATAGATGTCAAAATTGCAATATTTTGTTCAATTAAACAATTAATGTTCAATTTACTCCTGGGGATGGGGTAAAATGGTGAAAATGGTACAATTCACATAATTAATCACAGTTCCTAAAGTATTATAGGTAGAGAGTTACACATTTTTTATTTTGTAGATGAGGCATTTGACTACATAAAATATATAATTTGTTCTGTTTTGTTAATGTTTTAAAATATTATGGTAAAAATGCAAAACACCAATCATTTTACCCCGATCTCGCATAATATTGTTACCAAGTTTGTGTTAAATTTTTGACATGATATTTATAATATTAACACCACTGCACAAAAATATAATCTTTTAGAAAATATTTTAATTAGATATATGTAAAAATTGGTATATATATTATATATTATAAAGATTAATGATTGTATAATAAATTAAAATAGAAATAAATATTTTTCGGAATCTGGAATGTTTCGAAACATGGAACAGAACATATATTTTTGATGGGAACGAAACATGAAAACAGAAAAGTTTTTGTTCAGGGTCATTGTATATAATTAATAAATATCTGCCTCAAAAAAGCCAAATACGCACACCAATAAACTAAACATTTAATTAGAGTTAATTTTAGGTTAAATTATCATAACTATGATCAATATTTTCATGTAGAGATATTTAGTCAGAGCAACCTATATAAAAAAAACGATTAGTAAAAATTCTTATGTTACTTATGAGGTGGTAAAAATTGAATTTAAAAAAGAATCACTTAAGCATTTTTATAAAATACATGTATGGTTTGAATTTCAAGGTATAGTTGGAAAGTTTTTGATAAAAAAAACAATTATGGGCGAAGGCATGGGAGAGCCGTCTAAAAGCCGGCAATTCAGTTCCACATATACCACGCCCCCGATTAAGCTCACCTAGCCAATCACTATCAAGTTGAGTAATTGCCTAAAATTGCGTAATCTATGGGGCCAATAATCTTAAGCGTGGAGAGTACAAGCCAACATAAATCAAGGTTATCAAATAAAAAGCTCCCCCGTTAAGCCCATGACCTTAACATCCTATCCTGCTCATCTGGATCGATCCCATAAGACTTGTTGAACTTAAACTGTGTATGCGCAATTGGGTCATTCCATGTCAAATCAATCACTTTTGGCCGACCCCTTTCGATTTCGATAAAAATTCGTAGGCTGGTTATATATGTTCCCATTAGATTATCAACAAAATTTTAGCGCATTAGAAACTATATTAGCGGAGATATTCGGGGTTAAAAGTCCAAAAAACGTCTTTTTCTGCTTTTTACCGATGTTAAATAATTAGTTTTTAATTTAAAACTAAATATGATCAAATATTGAATCTAATATCAATAGCCAAGTTAATAAATGATGATTATGGCGAAAACTTCAAAATTAATTTTTGATAAAATATGGGTCATCTTATGGTAAGTTGAAAACTTGAAATTAATATTTCGAAATGTATATGATCTCCGATTTTTAATTTTTTTAAGAATTATTATCCATTTACTATTTTTTTAATAATTTATTCGACAATTAGTATGGCTGGGTATTTATTTAAAAAAATATTGCGATTATTATACTTTAAAAAAAATAGATGGCGCTATATATAATAGTTTTAATATTTTTTTTTTTATAATATTTTAATGTATATATATCATACTAAATCGATTACAATGTGCATTATATATATTATTTGTAATTCAGATCATAAATTTTTAAAATCTTCACAAATTTTGCCTAATTAAGATAGTTTATAAATTAATTAAATCTTACTTCATCTAAAGGAATACAAAGCCTGGCTAGCTTGTGAGATTCTTCAGGAGATAATATATGTTCGACTGGTGGGAGTAGAAGGATTGACCAGCGAGAGAATATGAAATTTAGGCAACACTAAAATATAATTTAAATGAGGCTGAAGGTCCACAAGGGTGTAAAAATCGGATTTTTACTTCTTCATTTGTATAACTTTTATCGATTATATATCCTAACCACCATTTATCATCATATACACATGTTATATACCCATTAATATTTTAAAATATAATTTTCTCATTTAAAAACGGAACTTGTTTTATATTATATTTTTTGGAATTAGAATATATTTTGGTTTTTAGTTTATTTTGATCAATGGGAATAATCCCGTGAATTTTTTGGGTCCCATGTATGGGCAGTGCAAAATTAAATCTTTTACGAAGGGCTAATTCCTCTTCGATATATTCTTGATTGGATACATATTCAAATTGAATATTAATATTTTCTTTAGCATAATTATATAATTCTAATGGGGTTAGGATTTGATTTTTATTTGGCCTTTGAAGACTAGCTCTGGCAACTAATCTTTTGACAGTTCCTCCGATACCGTCACATGCATTTTTGCCGTGAGCAGTGACAAAGAAATGCCATTCGGCAGGAATATTAAAATCGTATTTATGAAGGCATATGTTCAGAAAATTTTTGCGATTCTTGTATTGAGACGCGGCTTCATCCGAAAAATATATTATTTTTTCTGGTTTAGAATTAAATTTGGCTGTTAAGAATTTAATGAATTTTTTTTGATAAAGGTGGACTGCACTAGTATTATGGCTTAATGATTCGGACAAAATAACAAAATTTATATTTTTTTAATTCTTCTCCAGATTTATAATATGCTACAAATGGATGTATAGTGGCCTGCACATTGTTCCAATGAAATCCCTGAACTTCATCTTGTAAAATGAAGGAATAATTCTCAGAATAATCTAGAATTGTTAAAAATTCCTCATCTTTTAAATTTTCTTTGGAATTCTTCAAAAATAAACTTTGTGTTTAGCTATAAACGAGTGACGCAGTAAAATTTGAACTTTTTATAATAGATATTCGATGAAACCATCAATGGACTTTATAATAGTTTCAAGATTTGCTCTATCCACCGTGATCCATTGTTTAAACGTGACATATTCTATACGATTTCTCTGAAACAATTCGTATAATTGGCCCATAAGAGATTCTATACCAGGGCATTGATCACAATTTGTTAAATAACATTTTGGCTGAGATGGATTACAAATAATTTGCGCCAAAAGATTGTTATAGGAATTTATACAGTAATCTTCTCCTGCTGTAATTTCAGCTATTACATTTGTCATTAATTTAACATTCTGATGAATGGCGCAGACACAAACAGTGTGTGTGCCATCCAACTAAAATTCAGTTTTTTGGTCTAAGTTCGGCAAATTTAGGGAATCCAATAGATATACTTGGGTATTCTTCCTTAAACATCTTGAATATTTCTTTACGATTATTTAATATAAATCTTTGCCGATTCTTTCTCGCCTTTAACAGATACACAATCTTTTATTCCAGGCATGAGTCGGCTTATTTCATCAGAACTATAATTTTGTTATTTTTATTGATTAAAAAATTTTTCAAAATCTTTGAAA